GCTGAGGCAAGAAACTTGGTTGAGCCCAGGAGTTGGAGGTTGCTGTGAGTGTGATGCCACGGCACTCTACCCAGGGGGACAGCTTGAGGCTCTGTCTCAAAAATAAAATAAAATAAAAATAAAATATGATAAATGTTCAGAAAATATAAATAAAACAAAAATCACCCCTAGCCCTGGCAGCCAGAGATAACCATTGTTGATATTTTGATGTATTCCCTTCCAGTATTTTCCTATGTATATATGTATCTATACATACAGATCATGTTTTGCTTCGTCTCCGGTTTTTTTTTTTTTTAACTTAATTATAGGATAAGCAAATCTATAGTTCTTGAAAACATGTTTACAGCTGTGTGGTTTTCCATTATATGGGGCCACTATAAATCCTTGACTGCCCCTGTTGGAAACTCAGTTCCCAGTTTTTAATCTTTTATAAACATTGCTGTAATGACTATCTTTTTACACAAATTCCTCTGGTATAACTTTACAAAAACAAAATAGGTAGGTTAGAAACATGTACGACTTGCTTTATTAAGTGTTAATAGGTGTTTTTAATACAAAGTGTCATGTCGCATCCTCGATTGCCTTCTGAGAACCACTCTTAAAGTGTAAAAGTCAAGGCTAAGTAATCTCACCCGTACGTTTGGGCACAAATTGATAAATAAAAAGACGGAGATCCTTGCCTGGGTCCCTGTCAAGCCGAGCGGCTCTCAGAAAACACTTGGTCAGGTCTAACCTTAGCTCCTCTAGGCCGGGAGCCGGGGCCTCCACCAAGGTGAAATGTGAATCACTCGGACTTTTGAAACCGGTTTCTCCCTTGGTCCCCCCGTCACCCTGGGAGGACGGGCACTGTCCAGCGCGGCGCTCGTCCTCCCAGGCCCCGGGCTGGGCTCGGTCCGTTTTCTTCTCACCTTACAGCCCTGCAGCACCGCGTCGCAGTACAGCGCCACCTTCTCGTCCCGCCACATGCCCCTCATGGGGGACACGCAGACCGGGGGCAGGGGCTGCGCCTCGTCCTCCTCCTCCTCGGGCACCGACAGGAGCGGCTCCTCTTCCTCCTGCCCGGCCGCCTCCCCCGGGCCCTCGGCCTGAGACGCCGGCTGGAGCTGCAGCCGCCGCCGGGTCGCCTCCCGGGCCGCCTTGCCCTTCACCGGGCGAGGGGAGGCCACCACCGAGCGCACCCCGGACGCGGTGCTTCTCAGGGTGGCGGCGGCCGCCGTGTCCCCGGGGGACGCGGAGACCCCCTTCTCGCCCGCCCTGCCGGGGCTGACGGCTCGGAGCGAGTCCGCAGCTGCGGAAGCCCTGGCCCCCGACGCCATCTCCGGGGCCCTGACAGCAGCCGCAGCCGTTAGCCACTTTTCCCGCGCTGCGCATGCAGGGCCCGCAACGAGCGCGGCGGCTCGAGGGGGCCCCGCCGGCGGGGTGGCGGGCGGGTGGGGACGTGGGCGCGGCTCGGGCCGGGGGTGGGGGTGGGGGTCAGAACCATCCAGCCACGGAATTCCCTCTCAAGGAGGGGTTTCCTTGGCGGCACCAAGGTTTGCGGGTGATGGCGAATCACCCTCCAGGTCATCAGGACCTAACGGGGGCTCCCTCTATCCCTCCACACGCGCGTGTTTGCACAAACAAAAGCTGCAAGAAAATTAATTTTCATGCTGATGGATGATAATCCCTGGAACCCTCTGGGGGTTGCTACAGGAAACCCGAGGGACAAAGCCAGCCACCTGCATTTCCCCCCCTGCCTATTTACCCGCTTCCCTAAGATTTCCTTTCCATTTCAAACAGGACGCTCACTTTTTGCCCTGATGTGGTCATGCCAAGGACAGTTTAATCTGTTCTCTTGTCTCAAAATTCTTACATAAAAGACCGGATTGTGTAACTGTTCAACTGGATGCAAACGCCCAGCTGGGAGTCATGAGTGCGAACTGTGAAGGTTTTCACAGTAAAAGGCTGCTCGAGATAATACATTTTGGAGTAGAACAGACACCACTCGCTTCTGGTATTTTCTATTGCCTGTACGTTGAGCCAGTTGGAATAAGGTTTGTTTACCGCCTCGCTGTGAAATCCTGCACGGAGCTGGCAGCTCCCAGCGAGAACCGCAGTGGGAAAACACCTGCCTTCCTTCACGCTCCTCTGGAAGGACACTGTGTGAAATTCTGAGTTTATTTTGAGGAAAATATTAGTATTAATGTCATGTTCCTGCGGTTCAGGGAGTAATTACAGCATGCGTCATGTTCTGGCTCTCTTCTTAGTTTATTCCTTTTGTCAAGAGTTCTGGACTTTGTTGAAAACCATCCCTCACGATACAGATTTCACTCACCTAAACTGAAAATTATTGCTATAGTATTTCTTCACAAAAGTTTGCTTTTAATAAATTATGGGGGTTTTTTTTTTAATTCTTCAGTTAACAATAATAAGGATCACTTGTCCTGGCCCAAAGTTACAAAACAACACCCTGTTTTCTCCCCCAAAGCAAACAAATATTTGTTAGGAACCTGTTATGTGCCAGATAGTGCTTAGTAGATGCCAAAGTTATAGAGATAAAGGACAAAATTCTCGCCCTCACAATCCTAGTGAAAGGTACAGATGGATCAGTAGATGATTGTTTAGTAAGGACCATGATTTTATTTATATATAAATTAAAAACACATATGGTGTGTATACACACATATTTTTAAGTATATTTCTGGAAGAAAGGAACTTTTCTTCTCAGAGAAAGTTATACTTAAGCTGAGTCTTTTAAAAAATAACTTCTATTGCTTTGTATTCATTTTGAAAGCAATGTCCACACTCTGAGCTGATTTGGGAGACACAGAAAAGCCTAAGAAAGAAAAAACCTAAATCATCTATAATTCCAATGCTCAGCAACCACTACTGTTAGATTTTGGTATATTTTCTTTCAATATTTTTTTGACATCATATTATTACAAAGTTTAAAATCATATTAAGTTGTAAAGTTCATTTTTCTATATAGGATAAGCATTTTCATATAATTACAAATTATTTAAACACCATTTTCAATAGCAGCATACAATGTCTTTGTGTGGATATAATTTGTATAATCCCATATTGTCAAGTGTTTTGGTTACATTCATTTTTATAATATCAAATAAACTATTTTGAATATGTTTATGCATAACATTTTCTTATACATCAGATTTTTCCCTAGGGGACTGTGGGATTGAATCAAGATGTATAAACATCTCAAGGCCCTCAGTATTGCCAAATTATTTCCCAGAAGGGATGTATTAATTTCCACTTCCATTAGGATTAACTTCTTCGGTTGGCTGAGTTTTGAAAGAGAAGTAATCTATAGGCATGTAAGGCCGGGGCAGAATGGGGGATGGAGTAGGGTAAACATTCCAAGCAGAGTTAATAATTGGTGGTTTTACACAGATAGAAGACTTGGTCTTGGTAGCTTAGTATGACTGGAATAGAGGACAAATGGGACCAAACATTTAGTTGGAGAGATAGGCAAAATCCATATCACAAAGGGTCATGTTTATTATGTTAAGAAGTTGAATTCTAGAAATATTGATAAACTCTCCCTTATCTGATTTAGTTCCACCCCCTCTCCTGCACCCTCAGTATTCATTCCTGTATAAACTATCCCAGCACCTGCCAGCACATGCGACCAGCTCCTTCAGTGCGCAATCCTTTGCCTCCCTTAGCCAATCCAGTGGTTCCCTGGCTGGACCATGTTGTGTCTTCACCCTATTTACTGGGCAGAGGTGGATCTTCGGAAGTGGTGCATGTAGTCTTCAGAAGTGGAAGCAGAATCGTCAAGCACAGAGGCCTCTAGCTTTCAGTGGGAAGAAGTGAGCTCAGAGGGTCAGGGGAATCTGGGAATTCACTATTTTCAAGCACATTGATTAAGATGTTTCCATCACATCTCAGGGTCCCACTCCTTCCCCCATCAGAACCTGACCTAGGTGTAGCTGGCCTGCTCAGACTAAGAACTCACCTTTTTCTGGAACACTATCATCCTTATAAAAACATGAAACCCAGGTTTTTCTACCCAACCGCCAGGTTATTAGTGTTTTTAGGTATTATAGTGGAGACCTTCTGGCTTTCACGGTTCCCCTTAAATTGGTGATGAACTACCTTATCCTTTCTTTGTTGTTTTGCCAATAAATTAATAAGACCCAGCAAGAGACATTTGATTTCACAGTCCTCATAATTACTACTTGCAAGTACCGTCTTATACTCCTGAGATACTATACTGTCACTACCTTTCCTTTCCTTTCCTTGACAATGAGGGTTTTAATAAATGCATCAGCATAGCATGCTAGGACCTATTG